TAGTTGTCTAGTTAGCAAGATTGTGTATCATATTCCTCCCATCCCCATGCATACTACTTCTTCCTTTACCAAGGTGAATAACATCAATTCATGAAACATCTTTTTTTTTAACATCTACATTTGATAATGCTGGACATTAAGTACTATAAAGGAGAGAAGAAATAACCAGATACTACCTGTGTCCCTGCGTTGCTTTGGAAGAAAAGACTGGTGATCTACTGCCAAAGGAACCAGCTGTTGAAACCTTATGGAGCACCTTACGGAGGCTGCCGGGAGCTAGAGCTGACTTGAGGGCAACTGGTGTTGGGTGCCTAGGAGAGAGAAAACAGGAAGGGGCTTCCAAGTGTTTGTGGAAAAATGGATTTAAAAGATAGCAGATTTTTTTCTCTAGGCTTTTTGAAGCCCCTTCGAATATGCAAATTATCTAAGTATAGTGTAATATATTTAGAAGGGTCCTGAGAGTGTATTGAATAAAATGTGTTGGGGGTTTGGTGAGGAAGGGTAAGATCCACACGGACCCCAGGAGAATGGCATCTTAGAGGAGGTATTTCTTGAAGCAGTTTTTCAGCAGAATTATCTTTCCCTAGATAGCGATCATGGCAACCGCAGTGGCACAATGGTTTAAGTGCTCAGACACTAGCTGAGAAGGCCAAAGTTTGAATCTATGAGCCACTCTTCAAGGGAAAGATGTGGTGGTCTGCTTCCATAATGATTTGCAGCCTTGGAAACTCTATGGGGGCGGTTCTATTCTGTTTGTTAAGTGGTCACTATGAGTCAGAACCACCACTTGTCTGTCAGTTTGTCATACTGTGGTGCCTTGTGTGTTGGTGTGATGCTGGATGTTGTTTCACTGGTATTTCAAATACTAGTAGGCTCACCCAAAGTGAACAAGTTTCAGCAGAGCTTCCAGACTAAGAACAGAGTATGTAGAAGGATGCCGAAAAACTAGCAGCCGAAAACATTATGCAGAGCATTGAAACATTGTCAGATACTGAAGGCCTAATGAATAGAAGCAGAACATTGTCAGAGATAATGCCCGAAAAAGAGCCCCATAGTCGGGTCAGCAGGCCCTAAAATATGACCAAGGAAAAGCTACCTTTTGACTATAATGATGTATATGGAGTAAAGCCTGTGGGAGTAAAATATTGGGACCTTCATTTGTTGAAGGGGTACTATTCAGAATAAGAAGAAATAGCTGGAAACATCTACCAATAATCAGAACTTTGGATGAATGAAGTATGGAACTAGGAAAATTAGAAGTTATCAAAAATGAAATAGAACACATAAAGATTGGTGTTCTGGGCAATAGTGAGCTGCAACGGACTGGTACTGGCCAACTTGAATCAGAAAGTTATATTGTTTACAATGCTGGGAATGAAACAAGAGGAATGGCTTTATATTCATCATCAGGATAGTTCAGGATCTGTGTTGAAGTACGATGCTGTCTCTGCTAGCATTATATTTATTTGACTTCAAAGAAATCCAATCAATACACCGATTATTCAAATTTATGCACCAACCACTAGTGCTAGTGATGAGGAAATTGAAGAATTCTACCAAAGCCTTTAGTTGAAATTGATCAAACATTGCAACCAAGATGCATTAATTATTCTTGCAACTGGAAAGCAAAAGTTGGAAACAAAGAGGAAGGCACAGTAGTGGGAACATATTCTTGGTGATAGAAATGAAGCTGGAGATCACATGGTAGAATTTTGCAAGACCAAAGATTTTTTCATAGGAATACCTTTTCTCAACAACACAAAAGGCTACTATACACATAGACTTCTCCATATGGAATACACATCTGTGGCAAGAACTGATGGAGAAGCTCAATGTTAGCAACTAAAATCAAGCCCACCCAGGACTGACTGTGGAACAGACCACCAACTGCTTCAGGCTGAATGTGAATAAAATTAAAACAAGTCAATGAGAGCCAAAATAGGACCTCAAGTCTATCCCACCTGAATTTTGAGAAACTCTCCAGAACAGATTTAACTCATTGAACACTAATGACAGAAGACCTGATGAACTGTGGACGAACATCAAGAACATCTTTCATTTTGAAAACAAAAGGTTACTAAAAAGGGAAGAAAAAGATCAGAGTGGATTTCAGAAGAGACTGAAATTTCCTCTAAACTATAGAGTAGCTAATGCAAATAGAAGAAATGATGATGTCAAAGGACCAAACAGAAAAATTTAAAGGGCAGCTCAAGTATACCATGTTAAATACTATAATGAAATGCCAAAAGACCTAGAGTTAAAAAT